CCTACAATTTTTTGTTTATAACGTAGTTTATACGGATTATTTTCAAAAAAATATACGTATTTTGGAAATGTTGAGTCGAATTAGTCTAGAATCGATTAATTTTATGAAAGAAAACCTTTCAAACAGCCGTAGTCCGTAAACTATGATTCCTACAAAATTGATTCATAAAGAACGGAACGTATCTACCGTCTTATAGGGGGATCTACTGTATTGTAAAATCTTCTTATTTTTTTTACAAAATGGACAATCAAAATACAGAGAAACTTCTTAGTATTAATTCTCTTTTTTTCAAAATAAAGATAATTAGAAAATAAAAAAATAATTACAATTCACAAAACAAGAACTATTATATTAATGTAGTTTTAGCCTTTTCTCCTCAAGTGTATTTATTTTCATTTCAATCTCTTTTTCTTCCTTTTTGTGATATTTTCTTAATGTTTTCTGTGTTGTTTTAAATCCTTAAGTTGTTGTGTAAGTTTTCTTTTTTCTTCAGCATTCAATGCCTGCTGCTTCTGAATATCTTTTTCTGTTGCACAGATGCAATAAATCTCTGTCTAAATCCTCTGACTGTTAACATTATTTTCTGGTCTATATTTATTTTATCAATACCACCTGCAAAATGGATCCCATCATAAACTAAGCATTGAGCAACTAAACTTTCTTCCTTAAGATTTTCACTCAATAGTGATTTATTAACCGAGAAACCACTCTCAACACTTGCATTTCCATGTGAGAAAGAAAGAGAAATTTTGATAATAGACCATAGATCTTGCAGTTGCCTATCATCCTTCATAATTTCACAATAAAATGTGTCCAGACCATCATCATCACTCCTTTCAGATATGAAGTCCTCAAACTTTGTAGAATAGGGTTTTATTGATACTTTATTGCAGAGTATATCATACTGTTCTTTTGCTTTGACAGCATATTTCTCATCAATCCTGTTTGTATCATGTAGAACCTCCAGTAAAACACTGAAATACAATTTTCCAACATTTGATTGTATTTTGATAATTTTTGAATCTAAGCTGCTCAAAGCTTTCACACATTTGTACTTGACAGGTCCCTTTTCAATAATCTTTTGTGTCATCACTTTCAGCACATTTCGACAATCTCTTAGAAAACACAGAATATCTTTGTTGCTTACTTTCAATTATTTTAAAACTTTTTTCTCCAAAACCAATATCCAAATTCTTCAAATGTACTAAGTTTTCATTAGCATTTAAACCTATTTTTAGAAACTGCTTGTTGATGACCCTGTCATTTTTCACAAACTTTCTCAAGTTCATTAATAATTGAACAACTGCTTTATAAAGATAGGGTGCAAGATGTTTGCTGTTCTGAAATCAGGTGAGAAAGCTCTCACTTTGTGTACATATTGACTGAAAAAATAAAAGTTTAACTTTAATAAAGGGATCATTGAGTGCCTGTCTCAAGAATATAGCTACCTTACTGTCTTTCAACTTTGTACTGTTGTTTATGTATGTCTTCACAGATATTCCAACAACTTCTGATCGACGTTCTAAGCATTCTTCGTTCTCCAACCACTTTGTTCAACCAAACTTTTTGGGAAATAATCTGTTTCCACTTATAGCAATGTATTCAGACCACAGAGTGAATGAGTCTTTTAGCAAATAGTACAAATTCCGTAGCAGTGGTAACAAATTCCAATCTACTACTTTAAAACCAGCTTTTACAGCACCATGGACTACATGTAAACCACATGTTCTCATTCTCACAAATGATTCACCAACATTCTGTGTCTCCATGTGATCTAATTTATTCAGAAAACTTATGTTTACATTTGGTCTGTCCATACAGATGTGAAGAATTTTTGCTAGATCAAGATGAATGTCTGAAAGACCATAGAGAAATGCAGACAGAAGATCATCAGCTTTACTATAATCCAGAAAAACACTATTTAAATATTTAAATATCTGGTCATAACCTTATCTTTACTCTTGTCCCAGTATTTTATCACAAGATCCATTTGAGTTCCTTGAACAACTTTGTTTAGTGATTTGTCAAAGGAAAACAATTCCAAAACCTCACACTTGTATTCCTATGACGTCATAGTATTAGGAAAATTGGGATTCTTAAAACTTATAAAATTTAAATAAAATATAATAAATACAAAAATAAACATCAAATGAAATTACAATTATACGTTAATAAAATATAGCATAGAATCATAACTACAAATCTCTTTCTTTTGCAACATAACTATAAAAATTGTTTTGTTGTTTTACACAAAAGATAATCAAATTTACATTATTGCAACTTGTAACAGCATCAATCAATTTTTCTCTGAAATAATGGGCTAGGCCATAATTTATTATATAGGAAGCTTTATCTGGACCCAATTGAAATTGTGTGGCTATAGCACTGTCAGGAAACATTTTTTTGAAAATGTTTTTAATACCATAGCATGAATTGAGTGACATCTTTTTCTTTACAACTGCCAATGCCCGAGTTATCTCTGCTTTTATTACATCATCTTTTATCACAAAAAGGTGTCAATGTGCTGCTAAGAAATGTTGATTTGGTGAGAGATTGTTTGTTAGTGATCTTAGATCTATCTTCCAAAACAGAAGCCATTTCACACACATTTTGTTGACTATCAGAAGAGTGTGAATTTGTTGGGGTTAAAGACCTTATCAGTGATGTTTGTTCCGACTTCAATCTTTTTATTTCAACATGACTAGAACTATTTGCATGTGATACTAATGCATGCTTTCCCATATTACTTAATGAGAAAACTTTACAACAAATGCAGCAAAATGCTTTTGTATCATCATCTTTTACAGTTCCTAACCAGGAATTGAATTCTGGATGAATAGCTGGATCCAGCCATTGGAGATTAAACCTCGTTTGTTTCCGTGCCATTATAATTTAAGAATGTAGAAAAACACAAACCTTGAATAATAATATTAAAAGACAGATGAACCAGATCAGATAGCAATGCGTAAGACGTTTTGTCACAACAGTACGTAAAATATTCAAACGATATCCAATCAGCAACTGATATACATTAATTAAAAGTAGTGTTGCCAACTCAAAATTCAAATTTACAGCTAGACATTTTAATAAAAATAACCAAATCATATTGTTTCCATTAGAATTGTTTGATTTTTTAAGCTAGATTGTTCATAAATCTACTAAATCTATAAAAAATAGCTGAATTGGCAACTCATTAAAAGAAAAAAAAAAGTTTCGTTGCCGCCATTTTGATTTCGGTTTCGATGTAAAGACCAGAGTTTTAACAATTATTTTTAATAATTTTTATTTATTATTTACTTAATTTTGCATTAAATTTCGTCTTTGCATAAAATTTTCTTAATGCAGACAAAATTTATTTATTTTAACCCTTAATTACAATTCTTATAATTATTGCCAATCATATCACAAATCATCTTTCTCACTTTTATAGCAAATTTTAATTAAAC